GTAATGGGAGTCAAATAATATGTAAATCTACATTAAATGTTAATAATGTTTACCAACTTCAAGACATTGTAATATCATTAGTTCAAATAATAATCTATAATATTAAATATTAAAATGTTAAATAAATCAACAATCATACATTGTAAAAAATATAGTAGATGTCAGATATGTAAATTTATATTGTAGAAGTTATGTAAATTCGTATTATATTGTGAATGTGTATCAAAAGAAATAAGGATTTTGTAGAAAGCATAATCAATTGTACACCAATTTGATAGTTGTTGTCCAGTGTATGTTTATATCAAGAATATGTTTTATAGTTTATATTGGTTATATAATAAGTTTATGTCCAGAATATGTTTTATATCAGGGATTTTGTAGAACTGTTTTGTAAGTGAAAGGTACGTTTTATATTTTTATGATTTCTACAATACTTGTGTTTTTATATGTATGTTATATTCTTTTTTAATGTTTTAGTTGGCTGAAGAGGGGCTTAAGAGCCCGAAACATGTAAAAATTTTCACACGTATCAACTAAATAAAGATGAGAAAACCCGCCATGTGTCTTAATTTATAACACTTTATTGTGTTAGAAGCATAAAGTGTTAATTTTATTTATTACTTCATATTTCTGAAGTTGATACATTTATTGTTTAGCTATTTGATATCATTGTTATTTGTCAACTGTTTAGAATTATTTAGATATTTAAAAGTAAGTATCAAATTTAAAATAGCAAATATATTTAAAGTAACTATTATACTACTTTAATAGCTGAGTTTGGCTGTTTGGAATGGTCACATAGTGAAGACCGTCTTCTATATATTGCTGAAGAAAAGAAAACAAAATCAAAATCTTTTTTCAAGCAAAAGCATAATAAAGATGATGATGAAAATAAGCAGGAAATAAAAATGGTATAATAAAACATTTTTTTTTTTTTATTCCTATTTCCTTTAATAAATAAAATTAACTTTTAATGTTAGTTTTAACAAAAGGGATTAACTTTATCTTTTCTATTATCTATAGTTTAATTTGTATATTTCAATATAGCATCATTTACTGAATACTAAATTAGTTATGTTTTGATATAATTTTAATGTAAATAATAGTACAACTTGTAGTAAATCAATATATGTATCCAGATGTAGATTAACTAAATACAAACAAGTTTCTACCAAATTGTCTAGTTTAATTAAAGTAAATTTATGACATAATTTGATTAATAAACTCGTTAATAGTCAGAACATATAGTTATTAATGAACTAGCTGTTACCCGCATCTTTGCCCGCAAGGATTTTACAAGCAAACCCCCTTTATATTCAGTATTTCAACGACCATAGTAATTGTTATATAACACCTACTGCTGATAATGATGAGAATTGCTGAGAATCATACAAACTATTTTCAATTTGATCAATTTTCTGGAACATTTACAATTGTTCTATAATCAAACCAATATGCAATAACAAATTTGAATTTAAAACGGTTGAACATTTTGTTAAAAAATCGAAATATATAAAAATATTTATAACAATGTCTGAAATGTTATCAATTTAATTCACCTAAGTACTCAATGAAGACTAAACATAGTTAAAAACAAAAAATGCATCTAAAATAGTACAGTAGAAGTCGTTCTTCAGGTTAAGCCTTAATGCTCTCCTTCTCCCCCCACGGGAAATTTCGAAAAATCCCTTCTTAGTGTGTATTCTCATGGTGTATCCTACTATAACATAGTTGAAAACAAAAAATCACATCTAAAATAGTACAGTAGAAGCCGTTCTTCCGGTTAAGCCTTAATGCTCTCCCACTGCCCCCATGGGGGAATTTCGAAAAATCCCTTCTTATTGTGTGTTTTCATGGCGTACCCTAACTGTGTACCAAATTTCACCTCTTTAGGTTCAGTGGTTTGCTCTGGGTGATGATGAATCAGTCAATCACTCACTCAGTCAATCAGGACAAGTAATCTATATATATAAAAATGAATGTATGTCTGTCTGTGTGTCTGTGTGTCCTATGTCCTTCATGCATTACCACACCGTTTATCCGATTGCCATGAAACTTTGGGAAGTTGTTTAATATACTCCGGCGAAGGTTTGTGGCATAGTACGATTGCCATGAAACTTCGGGAAGTTTTTTAATACACTCCCGCGAAGTACATTTATCCTACGATAGATGGCGCGCGTTTACACGAGCATTCGCGCATAGTGTGTTTGATCGATTTCAAATTGTGAAGACCATTTCCCCCCTTCAAAAATATATATGTCTCTATATATGCATTTGTGAACTGTTATTTACGATATTTGTAATCATTTTTGTTTAATCACTTTATTTCGACTTTTTTTGCTAATTATGTTTTCGCTCGAACTTCGTTAAAATCTTAACTGTACCCCGAACAACGACCGAAGTTGTAGGAAGAAATTCGCCTATTTTACCGATCTAGGTATCGCCCTTTTTCAAATTTTAATATCGACTCGAAATAATTTAAAAAGACAAATTACAATAAAACGGTTTATTATCTAACTATCAGAAATTTCCCAACATGCCAAGGAAGAGAGGAAGGAGCAATTAAATAATTAAAATTATAAAGGATTTAAAAATATATATATAAATGGGGAATATCGCGCTTTTGACAATCGCTGCAAGTGTGTGGGCTAAATTTGGAGAATCCGTGCTTCTCGCATGGACAACTGTATGTGGCCAGCTCACGCGTCGGAAAACCTTCCGAATTATTCGTGTACGCACCAGACGAAAAAACAAAAAATATCGTGTATCCACGAGCACTCCAATAAATAAATAGAATTGAAACGACACTTTGAAATGTTTTCCCGATGAAAACGAATAATAATAATATATTTCAATAAAAATGATAAAATGAAAATTTAATTTTATTATAACGAGTTTGCTTGAATTTCATCTCTTCTGAGATCGCAGCAATGCGCGACGGGTAAGCTAGTTTTATATATTTAAATTAATAAGTTATAGATAGATAAATGAAGATATTGCAAGTTAGTTTTAAATTTCTGTGAAATTAACAGATTTTTATGATTTGTACATGTTATATCTCTAGGGTATGGAGGATTATATTAATGAAGAGGACTGGGGTGAAACTTTTACAACAAGGCATCATTCTGTTGTTTGCATAATGGATATATTAAGTGAAGATGTTGTTGTGCTAGATAGTATTCCTGAAGATGTATCTCCTGGACAGGTATGATTACACAAAAAATTTTTTTATGTAAATTACTTTTATTTATTTATTTTAATATGTAATATTGTAGAAATCTTTTCTGTCCTAACCTTTTTTGTCCTAAAACTGGAAGTGATATGAAAAACTTTTGGATCTTAATGAATATAAATAGTAATTTAAATTTTTTTTTATTTATTTAACCAAATGATCCTATGACCATTGGCCTTTTTCAAGAGTCAAAAAAAAAAAAAACAGACATATATATAATATACAATCAACAAAACAATAAAAAAAGAACTGAGAAAAGAAACAATAATTAATAAAATAAAAATACACACAACTAATTGCAGCTCATATTTTTACAGCTGTAAAAATATCATTTAAATAGGCTGTAAAAAACTCAAATCTTTGTATTCTTCTTTTAAAGAATTCCAGTTATATATAAGTTGATAGATTGGTGCATCTTGTCCAAAACATTGCTTAACTTTTGATAGAATCAAATTATTTTTCCATTGATAGTTGTAGTTAGAAGGCCTAAGATATTTATTTAACTCATCACTTATATAAGATTCTTTCTTGCCCACCTTTATTAGCTTAAAACTTTCTAGAAGAACGTATTTTTTATATAAAGCTTTTATTTTATCAATTTTGGTCTGGTTATAAAAAGAAGTGACAGAAGAATCATAAGGTAACTTATATAATGCTCTTATAAAGTTATTTTGTATAACTTGCAACCTATTCAATACAAAAGAAGCTGTACCCCATACGGAAATACCATATTGAAGTTTGGGTTCCATGCAAGCGTGATATAAGCGCAAAACAGTCTCAAAATTTAAAAAACTCATTATTCTTTTCAGTATTCCAATAAATCTAGATAAAGACAGTGTTAAATTATTTATATGATTAGTCCATCGTAATTTATCATCAATTTCAATACCTAAATATTTTACAGTATTAACTCTATGAATACGTTCATTATTTATTCTAACTTGTATATCTTCTAAATTAACTGTTTTGTATTAATTTTCATTTACACTTAAGTTATTATTTTCCATATACTTACTTAATTTAGCCAGCAAAGAATTTATATTATTTTCAACCAATTGAAGATTACAATCTGCATATGTTATAACAATATCATCTGCATACAATATAATATTATTCTCGGGAATAGTCTCTACAATATCATTTATATAAATATTAAAAAGAAGAGGGCCCAAAATGGATCCCTGTGGTACACCTTTGTTCACTTGAAAAGGTTTTGATATTGAATTTTTTACCTTAACATAGTACGTATGATTTGATAAATAGGATATTAGCCATTCCAATAGCACTCCTCTCAATCCAACTTTAAACAATTTTTGTTTTAATATCTGAATATCTACACTATCAAAAGCCATGGTCAGATCGATAAACACTGCCATTACAATATTTGAATTATCGAGACTTACTAATATATTGTTTAAGATGAGTCAAAGCATCAATTGTAGAGGCCTCTCTTTTAAAACCATACTGATTATTAGATATAATTTTATATTTATTGACAAATTCAAAAAATCTTTTATAGAAAGCCTTTTCAAATCATTTTAGTTATACTCTAAATAATAGTAATTGGACAATAGCTCCCCAAGTTCTGTTTAGATTGTTTATTTTTAAATATTGGGATTACGAGATTGTATTTAAGCTTCTCCGGAAACCTCCCACGCTCGAAGGATTTATTAATTAATTAAATAAGATAATGGTAAAGCAATTTTATCTGCTATTTGTCTTAAAATAAATATATTTAACTTATCAGTGTCTGCAGTATTTGCTTTTACACTCATATGGCCAAAAATCTCTTTAGGAGAAGTCTCTTCCAAAACAAAAGAATTGAGCATGAAGAGGAATGTGAGAAAAAATTATTTTTTAACATTGATGTGGCAAAGCCTCCCATCTGTCTATAGTGTTCAGCAAATATATTACTTATTTTTTCTTCATTTTGAAAAAGTTTACCATTATGTTTCAACTGATTAATTTGTGCGTTATCCTGTGTTTTAACTACTTCGATAGGTAGATGTTTAATCTCTTGCCAAAATTCTATAGAGGAACATATATTAGAGAATTGTCTGTCATAGTAATCTTCCTCTTCTTGCCTAATTTTATATCTAATATTCTTGGATAGCCCTCTCAATTCCATTAATATTTTAGCATGTTGATCTCCTAAAATACAACACTTGTTTAATTGTTTAAACAACCTCTTCTTCTGGCTAATTAACTTTATTGTATCACTTTTAAATAATTTTTGTCAAAAATGCCTTTTGCTTTATCTTGGTTTTCTTATTTAGTGTTATTATAGAAAAGTATTTATTAATGAAAATCTGCAGGATATCCTGAAAGTAATCCGCCAATTGGTCAACAGAAAGATTGCAGAATAATAATAATCCCAAGCAATAAATAGAAATTTTAGAAATAAAAATCTTTTTCTCATTAATATTTCTGATGTTTGAATTTCATTATTAAGATAGTAGCCTAAAACAAAATTTTATAGTTTTGAATAAAGGAACAAAAAGTGTTCCTTCATTCAAAATTATTGTTATTTTATTATTATTTTTTTAATATTGTTTTTTAGTTTGAAATCATACATTTGAAAATTATTTAAATCTTTTACTTACATATTTTATTAAAAAATATTACTACAATATTTATTTTTTAACTAGATGGATTATTTATAAATTCCTTTAAACCTGAATAGCAGAGGATTTCATTTCTTTAAGCTAAATAGATCTATACTACATCTTTTACTATATATAATAAAACTTTTAAATTTGATAATATATATTTTTTAAATTTGAAATGAATGTCTTTTTAATAAAACTAATTACAATATTTATATTTATAAAATTCAGAAACTTTTAGATTTCATTTTATTTCATTTAAACTCTATTGATCATATAAACATTTATAAACTGTACATGATTTATATAAAGTAAAAAAGGAAGAATAAAGTAATAGTTATTACTTAATCAATATTTTATTAAAAATAGCATTTTTTTTTTCAAAATCTTGTAAATATGTTTATAAATAATAATTACTATTATATCATACTTATATATATAATTAATTGTTACATTTAAATAATGTGTTTGCAAACTGTTCAAGGGCATATTCTAATGGAAAATGAGACCATGTAAAATGACTCCTTATAATACCAACTAAAACTTAAAATAAAAACAATGTACTAATTAAGAAATCAATTTGAAATAAGATAATAAATAATTTAAAGCTTTTTTTTTGCTACAAAATATCAAATCATTCAAAATCTATCCAAGCATTTTTGGAACATTCAGTTCTAGCATTTATGAGACTCCAGACCAAGTCACAATTCCTCATAAAATTTATTTTTAAAATATATTTTATATATAAAGAAAATGTTACCAAAGAAATGAGAGAGAGGATCAAACAGGAAATTCGACTTCTCACTCCAGTGACCATAGAAACAACAAAAAGATAAGTTTTTTTTAAACATCTTGTCACATGATGGTAGCTGGAAATTATTAGAAACAGGAAGGAAAACACAATGAGTTATGGATAAGAGTTCCGTCAGTTTAATAAGCATCTTGGATTGGAATCAGAATTTGAGTTCAATAAAAAAAAAGGGTGATGTCAATCTCTCTCTCATTCCCACATTTGGTCCTGAATAAGCTTTGGTAACAGAACAAGAACCAATTAAATGGAGAAATGGGACCAACCAGAGTGTTTAAACTAAGGAAAAAATCCTTTAAAACTTGAGTTACAAGGACACAAGGTTCTTTGCTCTCTCTTGAGAATTCTGTTCCTGTCCGTCTAGGACCATGAATTTCCCTCAGTCTCTTTATTGGAACAAGTCATTGTCATGTCTCTCCTTGACTGTCTTAACTGCATTCGTGAAGAGAACTATGTTCATCTCCAGAGGTTTGCTTAGTAACACTAGCCCCAGAGCTGATGAGCAGTGATGGACACCAGTTGATGCTTGAATTGGGAGTTAAAGACTATTATGAAAGATAATCTGGACCAATCTTGTATAATTATCTTATCTGCAGAGGAAGATTTTTTACCTGTAAACTATCCTTTATTTCAAATAAAATGAGTTTTAATTGTTAACAGACCCCTTGCCTCAGTGTCTCTTCCTCCAACATACACTGTTCACTTCCTCTTGCTTTCTTGAACAACAGCACTCTTCCATAAAAAGTGTGTATTGTGTGTTACTCCAGATGATATTGGATGTGAGATTAAATTTTTTCAGATATTGTATTAGTCCTTGGGCTTAAAAAGGTTAAAGACTTTTACTTATAGACCAAAATTATTACCCATACAAGGTTAACAAGAGCTACACAAAAATGACTTTAAATCAAAGAAATTTTATAGTGGCTATGCTGGAAATTTTAAGGGATGACATTTTGGTGGCAATGAGTGATGAGGCTTACTTTCATGTCCCAGAATGCATTAACAAACAGAATTTCCATTTTTGGTTGTCAAAAAGTCCTTGGCAACTCCATTAACGTTCCCTGCACAGCAAATATATAACTGTATAGTATAAGGTTAGTATAGGTTATATATAGGTTAGCCAAATTCAGCATAATTGGCCTTTACTTTTTTGAGGAAGGGAATGACTAACAACAGTGACTTTCACCACAACATTATGTAGTGATGTTGCATAACTTCATATTGCCTGAGCTGCAAAAGCATGGCATAAACCATCAAATAATATGGTTTCAATAAGATAGGGCAACTGCTCATTCAATGAGGAAGTCAGTGAATGAACTTGACATTTTTTGTCAAGCACCTCATTTCTCTGCATGAACATTCACTGGCCAGCTTAATCACTCAACCTTTCAGTGTGTGATTACTCTTTATGGGATTACTAAAAAGCTAAAGAGTATATTGACAAGCCATAGAATACTGAAGTCCTCAAAAATACAATTATATGGAAAGTCCAAATGATTCCACAAAACCTGGTTCAGAAGACAGTTGTCAATTTCTCTGCAAGGAATGCACTAATAAAGATGGATGCAATTTTGTTGTTATTTTTCAAATCTTGTAGGCTCTTTTTGTTTTTACATTATTAAATGGCAAACATTTCTGTTTCTATTGCAAAAATAAAAAATTTTTTCATAAACAAATAACTGTATACAATTATTATGAAAATGTCATACTTTCCTGCCAGACTCTGTACTTTTCTTTTAATGTCTTTTTGTCTGAGCATTATTCTTATAAGTAAAGAACAATAATTAATAATGATTATATTTTAAATCATATAAATTATTGAGATATTATTGTTGAGAATAAATAAGTTTTATTGATAATCCATTTTAAAATTATGAAATATTTTGAATTTTTCTCAATGCTTAGAAGCTTTATAAATTAATAAAAATAACTAGTTCACATATATACTATCTAAATTTTCAAAATCATTACCATTTAATATTGTATGAATTTTTTTTTTTTTTTGTATTATATGTTGTTAGGGAAAAAATAACTAAATATAAGTTTTTTTCAAGGAATTAACTAAACAAGAAATTACACACACATTTTCTGAGTTAGAAATGTTGGAAATGGACTGTCTAAAAAGTTGTCCAGAAATAAATTTTCTTAAGATAAAATTCTCTCTTTCTACAAAATGATCAATGAATGGTATTGCTGAAAATTATCATAAAAACTTTTCACTATTAGTAGTATATTTTATTAGGTGTGAATTTTTGGATTTAAAATGATGCTTAAATCACCTTTAAATATTTTTTGATTATAATAATTTAAAATTTTCAACATATGTCTAAACAAATATTTAGTATATTTTTCTTTAATAGGCAATTTGGTCTTCTGATGATAATAGTGTGGTATGTATAGGATGGAAAGAAGTTCCAAGGCGTTTGGGAATACGTTATTGTACAAATCGAAGGTATAGTGCAACTTAAATTTAAATGTGTTATTTAATTTTATGTGGAAAATGGACAAAGTCTACAGTTAAAAATGATTTAATATGTAATGTTACAGTAGAAGAAAAATATTTATCTATATTGTTTCAAAATACATAAAATTCTTTAAAAGTAATTATGGAAAACAGAGTGATGTAGATTAAAAAAGATAGCACCAAAAGTCATCACTAGATGCAAACTGCATTTTATAAGTTCATCAGCAAAATTATAGAAAATGGCAATTATGAATTTTTTAAATATTTATAATTCACATTAATCTTAGTGAAAATGAAGATCAGTGAGATTATAAGATATTGTGCAATAGCAATGGTAATCATAAAGCTGTGTTTTATTATAGATGTAACAATTTTGCAAAACTTTATATATCAAGTCAGTGTTATCTTGTATTTATATTCACTAAAATAATAATTTAATATATAGATATTGTTTTTTGAGACTTAATATCAAATCTCATTGTTTAAAATTAAATTTTATATTATTGAAAATATTCTGTCATTGAGTTTGATGGATTTTGTAGTTTTTTATGTATTTCAGTATAATGATTGGAAAGTATGATTTAATTGAAGCAATTTTGATATTTAATATATTATCATATATTGTTTGACTAAATTTTTTTCAGTGACCACTTTTTTATGTGAATAAAATTAAGACTAAAGAGACATATATGACATGTTATATTCTAGGAGTTTTATAAAAACACCACTTTGTATATATAGTAAAAATGAATCTGCTATTAAATTTCATGCACATAAAATGTGATACAAGAATTTTTAGTCAGATATTTTTAATGAAAAGATTTACAATGTACAAGATGCTAAAAGTTGCTAATGAAGATAAATTACAGTAGGAATTTTTATAAATTATCAAGTGACAACTCAAGAGCTTATAGTAAATCTTAATGCTTTGAACATACTTATTGTTGAAATGCTTTCAGTTTGGAATGATCATAAAATATGATGTTTGGATTTAACTTGCATTAAATGAAAAAATAAATTGGATTAATTGTTTAAATATGTGTCGTCATACAGTAGAATCATTTTAAAATAACCTATTTTTGAAGCTTTAGAATTGTGGTGAAAATGGATATTAATACTTTATAAACTTTCATATCTTATGAAAAATAATCTATAAAGAACTTTTACATTTAAGTCATAAGTCTATCTCCATATGAACTTTATAAGTTATTCTAAGTAACTACTTTTCAGGTTGATTTCTGGAAAAGTAGTTAAGTTAGAATGGCTTTTACAACTTAATAAAATCATATATTTAGATATCTACTGTCAAGTGCATTGAGTTAATGAATATCTCAAAAAAAGTGAACAAAGTTGATTCAACCAAATTGGGCAAATAGATATAAGAAGATTGGAACATTAAGAGAATATGAAAGGATGCAAATATCTTGGAATAAGAATATTTTAAATTATGACTACTTTTTTTATATTTATATAAATACATAACTTACACAAGGAAACTGTTTCACATGCAGACAATTCTGTCAACAGATAATTTAAAGTTTGCAATGTGTGGCTCATCAAGAGACTGCCCAAGTATTGTTACATAGCACATATGTACTGAATCTACAGTATGAATTTCAGCAAGATGGGAAAAATCAAGTGGATGTAGGAAGTGGTAAACTAATTTCAGGGATCTTTAACTTTTTCAGGCAACATTTGTAAGATTTTCAGTTGGCATGTTTTGTAGCATCTGAGCTAAGACTAAGCTATGAGGAAATATACCTACTGGAATGCATAGATCCCTGTTATGTTCTCATCAAATTCCAAGTTTAATCACTGTCACTCACTTAGCAAAAAATGTACCCTGTTCCATAACTGTTCCAATAGAATGAATTTTGTTTATGTTGCAATATGTTTGCATCAGCATTGTGTCTTCTGAAAATTAAACATTATTAAAAGCTGTATTTACATCATTAATAAATTTTCTAGGTGAGTGATCTTCAGAATTCCATTGCGAAAGTATTGCCTGAGTAAAATCGTTTATAGGTATTTATAAACACAGATTTAAAAAAATACTTAGTTGACACAAATGACATATTTGCCAAGCTGCCACCAGCAATACCTGTATTTTCTTCATCCTTTATGCAGTATCAGTAATATTTTTACTCAATATATCTTTTGATGGTTATACCAATGTTGCCTAATATTAAAACATTTTATTATTAGCATGTGCAGCTTATGTTTTAAGTGAAAAATGGATGTTGTGTATTCATAATTTTTATATGTCAAATGAGTGTCACTACTTTGATTCTCAGGTCATTTTGTAAATATTTAAATATAAGAACAATAGTTTTAAACTTTTTACAAAATGTGCTTGATATTTGAATTTTCTTTGGCTTGAAATCTTTGTATGAAGGTGGAATGCCACTGCATGGTTGTATAAAGCCCTGTTCCAAATTTGGACAATTTGCCATTTTTGAAAAGTTAAGTTTTTTTGGAAAATTCACTTTTGATACTGTCAAAACAGTCATTTCAAAAGTTAGTAATGGACAGTGCTGTGTCAGTGTATAATTAAGTTTGTTCTTTTTAGCCTCAATTCACACAAACCAAAAACTAGCTGGACATGGAATAGTTTTCCCTAATGTAAAAAGAGTATTAATATATTAATAAAACATTAAATTTTTTAAATAAAAACTAATATATAATATAATATGTTTATAACCACAAACATCTTCTAACCATAACACTGTGTTGAGTAATAACTGTCCACAAAAACACTACGAACACAACACTGATAAGTTTTTTGTGGACAGTTATAATATATTTATCTATTTTTTTTGTTACATTGATAAGAGGAATTAAAACATGTGTTTAAATTTATAGTATAATCAGAAATTATACAACTGTTAAATCATTATATCATGGGCAATTTTTGTATAATAATATCAATTACACAGGTGTGCAAAAAAAAATTTTTTTTCCAGCTGCATGGGATATTTTTGCTGAATTATATGTTTTAAAGATTGGAGATTCTAAAAATGACTTCCATAACATCCCATCATGTATAGGTTTTTTGCAAAATAAAAACAAATATTTGATTAAAACTCTTATTTATTACAATGAACTAAATATATTATATTTTCTTACAACTAATCAATAAATTATTTCTGATATTTATACACAATTTTAGATCTACTTTTTTTTCTCGTACTCTTTTACCAAACTTGTTTCTGATTTCCTTCTCTGGTTTCTCGATTGAGCATTCAACAGTAGTCAGCTAACATATTGACATCCCATTTTCCTTGGTAATATCTCGATATCATGGACATCCTGGTGAAATCTTTCACCCTGTTCTTCACTGTAGGCTCCCAAGTTTTCGGGAAAATAGTCAATATGGGAGTGTAAGAAATGAACTTTTAAGTTCGTCTTGCATCCTTGAGTTTTATACGCTGCCAGCATGCATTATACAATGGTTTTGTAGTCAGGATCCTTAGTATTCCTCAAAAACTTATGCACTACATTCTTGAAAGAGTTCCATGCTTCTTTTTCCTTTTTTCCCATTGTTTCCAAAAACAGGGGATCAGATAAATGGAATGTTGACTTTTCACTGTGTATTCACCACAAACATAACAGAAGCTGTCGGGAGAAATTACACAACCTCTGCGAGTCATATTCCAGAAATAAAAATACAAGCACAGTAACATTCGAATGGTGGATATAAACTGAGTGTGGCATTAGATGGACAGCGAGATATTGAACTTATTTAGCTTGTTGAAACATGATCTAATCCAACAGCAGGTTGTTTATATTTATTCCTAGTATCCCTGATAATATGTCGAAACATGCTCAACCTCACCAGTAATATTATTCACTATTATCTTTTAACATGTTTCTATACAATCATGTGACCTTCCTCCTAACGCTAAAACTACTTAACTCACTTCCCCTTACCACTACTCTCTTCAACCATTAACATTTTTTATTTATTTATTGTCAAGTCCAGCTATAATTGATAGAATTAATGTGAGAAGTCTTTGTTTTAAGGCAATTTTTTTAAATAAATAGAAAAATACTAAATTTTAAGTTAACTAGGAATTTTATGCTAAATACAAACAACTTGAATGTAACAAAAAAAAATTGACAAGATGGAATTTTTTTGGTATTTTTTTCATTTTTACTAAGTTGAAATCTATAAGAAAATGTATAAAAATCCTATGCAGTTTTTTACTTGCAGACCTGTGTTATATTCTAAGTTTCTTTTATAATTGTTTAGATTTTCATAACAAGCTATTACTTTAATAGAAAAAATATTGCTCAAGAAATTTTTTATTTAAGTTATTTTCATGATTATTGGAGTAAGAAATGAAATATAATAATGATGATTATTACTTTTTTTAATAGATGTGCACTATACTGCATTGATTTGGAAACTGCAAAATGTTGTAAGTATTTCTATACTTTTAAAATTTTTACTTCACTCAATATTGTTGAAAAATTATTTTTATTTAGAATAACAATTTATTATTAAATGTATTAAATGCTGCTTTTTTAATAGAGAAAAACTAAAGTTTTTCTTAAAATTTATTGTTTTAAACATAGATAAATATATTTTTTTAACTATTATAAAACTATCTTACATACTGATGACTTTTATAAGTATGTAAAACAATGCTTTCTAAGTTGGTTTAGAATCTTTGGTGTTTTTACACTTTTGTAATAGAATGATTTGAAATTAATTTTTAAAATGCTAAAAATGATGAAAAATCAAATGATATTAAAAATGTAATTTATAATTGGTCAATATCCATATATTAATTGAAGGAGGTTTTAGTTTTTCAACTTAGTTTGAGTAATGGTTCAGGTATTGAATTAATGCTCTTACTCTGTAGATGGTGTTGTTGAGGAGAGATTTGAGAAAGGTTCAATGGTTCAGGTGAGGTAGAGTGGCAAAAGGTACAATGTTAAGTCTATCACACAAACATGTTGGGCAATTGTAAAACCTCTTGCAATCCCTACAGCTCTTCTTATGATTCAGACTTTGGAAACCACAGATATAGACTATAAAGGAACAAGTAAATTATTCTAAACAAAAGTGAGAAAATCATCTCACACACATGACCAACAGCTAAACAGAATAATTAATACTCTTAAAGCTCAACAAAAGCATAAAGGAATTACAGGTAACCCCCGTATAACACGGTAGTTACGTTCCAAAAAATTGCCGTGTTATATGAAACAAAGAACTAATACGAAAAGGAGGGTTAGGTTCCAAAAATTAAAAATTATGCTATTATATTTTCATAATTAAGATAAATATCTTCATTAAAATTTTTTTAAGTGATACATATTAATATAAATTAAACAATGTTTTCTTCGTCATCACTAAAAACACTATTAATTAACTGAGAGCGTTTTCTTTTTGGCAAGTTATCCTTATCCTCTGAGTATTTTTCTGCATTATCTCCAGATCCATGCTTTACCTTTTGCAAAATGTATGTAATTTTAGATTGCTTGCTTCTAGTTAAAAGGTCTTTATAAATTTCCTTATATGGTGCTAAGCACTTATGAAGAATAAAGCAAGTATGGAATAAGGGAAAAACATTTGGCAACATCAGAAGCAGAAGCGTCGTGATCTGGCAACATTGAAACAAGTTTCGAGAAGGACCACGTGTATCGACAGAAGGTGAGAAGAGAAAATTTACATACTTAAGTACTAATAGTTCACGAAAATAATAATTTTCGTGAACTATTATTACTTAAGTATGTAAAAATTTATTACATTTCCTGTTGTACGAGGATTTTACCCAATTCTCGAACCCTGTCAGAGTTAATCCGTGCTATAAAAGTACCGTGTTATGCGGGGATGGTACCAATTCTCGAACTGTGTTAGAGTGAATCCGTGCTATAGAAGTGCCGTGTTATACGGGGGATGGTACCAATTCTCGAACCGTGTTAGAGTGAATCCGTGCTATAGAAGTGCCGTGTTATACGGGGGTTACCTGTACTAACAAAGAGTAAATTAAGTGTGAATTAGTTTGCTATTTAGAAATGATTGCTTCCTACAAAATAATTTTATTCAGATTAAAAGCACAAAATAAGTGTTTTAAATATTATAAAACAACAAATATAATTAAAAGCATAATAATTGAGAAACAACTGCACAAATAATAGCAGAAAGACAGTCCTTATTCTTCCTGCATGCCATTCTCCCATCTAAAATAAATTTGAACTCTTCCACTAGTGGGAAGGCTTCCCACATCTAAATCCTAACCTGAAAGGTAAAACAAATTTTATATTGAGGTACACAGCAAGAAGAAATTTTGAGTTTAGAGAATTAATATTAAGTTTTTATAATAATATTGTTCATAATTGTTTTGATCATTTTAAACTGTCTATTTAGTTAATTTTTTGCAAGTTTTTTTCTTTTTTCTGGTTTTTTTCAAATTATTTTCCTCAAATAATCAATAAATTTACCTTAAAGTAAGCTAAGTAAGCTATTTATCGTAATTATCATACTGATTATATTACAATTTTTAGTTTAACCATTCATTTTCTTATTTAACATTGAGAAACATGAGCAGAGAAACAATAGTCTACAACCCTCAATATATAGACAACTGACTGAATTGGAACTTAAGAGGTGCAGTCAAAAAGTTCCAGGACTGGTCCAATAAAAATTGTCTGATGTACAAGTTAATTTATTGAGAGTTGTCATCTTTAAAATAAGTTGCTTCTGCAGCTATACATAGATTCCAGTGCTTCTCTCTGTTTTCAAATCATTCCTGAAACTCTTTTTTTATGACATTATTAAGCACTCACTGTGATTCTGTTTGAATGTTATCAATGTTCTCAAATTGGTTCTTTTCAGCACTTTTTCAGCTGTAGAAATAGAAACAATCACATTTTTCCAAGTCTGGTGAATAAAGAGGGTGGGGAACCACGGCCATTTTATTTTTGGCAGGAAACTGTTGAATAGAGATAGCTGAGTGGAGACATTGTTATGATGCAACAACCAGTTCTGAGATTTACAAAGTCTTTTTCGTTTTATGCAGGCATCTCAAAACATTCATATAAAACTTTTGATTCTCATTTTGGCCTTGTGGAACAAATCTGGAAGAATAATTTCCTCCCTATTGGAAAAAAAGAGCTTTCTCTTGAGTTTGCACATCACTTGGCATGCTTTCCTTGGTCTGAGTGAACCATGATTTTTCCACTGAGTCAATTGTTGTTTGGTCCCATAGTCATAGCTGTAAATTCATATTTTTGTCTCCTGTAATCACTTTCTTTTCTGTTGCAATCTTGCCAAGTTTGAAACAAAATTTTACACACACACACACACTGTTCCTTAAAAGAATTCACTTTACAAAGCAATGAAAATCACAAATCAACAAGAACGTGGATTTAATCCAAATAGCAAGAAATGAAAACTACATAAGATAATGCCACAAAATTTGGTAGGAAAGTAAATAAAGATGTCTATTATGCATCCTAGTTCTTGCAAGTTCAGCACATGACTATTTCTAGTATCAAGTTACCAGTCCTGGAACTTTTTGACTACACCTCATAAGCTAGTTCAAGGCAGTGAAACTACTCAGACAAGAAAGCAGAGAAGAAAAAGCTTTAATGGTGTTAGAAATCTCAACCAAGATTGGGGAATAACATGCATTGTGCGAACAATGGTTGAAGAAGTTCTCATTGATTTTTTTCAAGAAACATTAAATTTATATCTCGGAGGCTCTAGAACAGGTTGGAATTGGAACCATTTAAACATTACACCAAGCTGTTGATTTAGACTTTACATCAGATTTTGGGGCAAGACTGAGCCATTAGTCATTCCTTTAGTCACAAATTCAAGATTCCATCTTCTCAAAATAACCCTCAACCTGATCATTCATATGACTTATTTTGATCTTGGACTGTTGTCATATGTACCAAGTTGTTTGGCTTTACATTTTGAATGCAAAAAAGTCAATAGTAGAAACAACTTCATTTTAACGACTGTTGCCATAATGGAAAAGTGAAATTGTATTCTACTTGTTCTCATGAGGTTCTTGAGAACATTCTACATGGAAAAAGCTCAACTACTCAAGAATACCTAAAGTGCATTGTTGTTTAATTTCTTCATTGCCAATGAAACTGTAGCTCCAATCGGTACAAACCATACATGTTTAAGATCAACGGGCAGCTTCATTATAAATATGGTCCTTTACATTCTGACAGACCTGAAGAGTGAGCATATGTTCAGCTTTATATTATAGACCAGTGTTTCCCATCCTTTTTTGTGCTATACCCCCAACTAAGCCTTTCTAAAATTCTTATGTCCCCTTACATATACAGCGGTTATATGGTTAACTTAAACTCTGGACAAGTCCATTTTTGAATTGCCCCTTTAACAATCCAATTGTCCCCCACATTGAAAAACACTGTTATGGACACTGCAGAAGCAACAGACATCAGAATATTTAGAAATGAGATTTGTAATCCAGAGCTAATGATGATGCTGCATGAAATGATTGCTGAGGTGAACCCCTTTGCACATTGTAACAGAATGATAGCAAAGGCTGATCAGCAAGAACAAGAGGAAGCCATGATTGAAGGATCAATCATATATACATAAGAAATGCTGTATCAAGACAATCTCATAGAAGAAATTTTTAGTTCAGACTACAATTCACTAACACTTAATGAAGTGAGGTATCAAGTAATTTTGTATCCAAAAAATTTACTCTGTGCAGACATAAATGATAAAATTGTTGCCACCCTGTCAGGAGAAGAGGAAATTTGTTTGAGTTTAGACTGCATAGTTTCTGATAATCAGAATTAGCACATGAGATACCCAATAGAATTTCTGCAGACAATTGAGAATTGAGATGAGTGACTTCCACCAGATAAATTAACATTAAGGATTGGTGCTCATCAGGAATCTCAACACTAAAAAAAGATAGGTTAATGGAATGATATATGTTATACACAGTATGCTTAAATTAATAACACAATTAACTTTGAGATCCTGATGTGCAAACACTATGGAACCATTCACACGCTTCCTTGGATACCATTAACTCCAAACGATGACATTTTTTTTTTTTTTACAATTAAACAACTTCAATTTCCCATCATCCTGGAATTTGCCATGACAATGAACAAGAGTCAAGGACAGACTCTCAATAAAATTGGTATTTATATGTGAGAACTGGTGTTCAGTCATGATATGCTTCATGTGGCCATTTCCCAACCCATATCACAAAAACACCACTGTTAATTAAACCTTTACTTCCGGTAAGAAATAATACACAAACAAACGAACGTATTCAATCTTAATCAAGATCTGCCTCAGGTTTTGTTCATTTGTGTATTATTTCTTACCAGAAGTAAAGCTTTGGTGTTTACATTTATCGGTAATTGGTCTAGTAGTTTGCAGATCACAAAAATCTGTAGCAGTAAAAATTTCACATCCAGATCTTATGATTTGTCTACTTTGGAAAGATGGACTCAAAATATTGTATTTCAATAAATTCTGAAATAAATTTCAATTAAAATGGCAGACTATTTTTACAATTTAAAAAATATAGAGGAAATAAAATGTCTTCAATTCCACCATGTCCAATCATCAGGAGCAAAACAGTCTTTCTTTTTGAAGATGACCTTTTATTAGAGGTTATGCCTCTGCAAAATTATGTAAAACAGTTTAGTGATGATATCATCAATGAACATTTTAACTGTTTTACATAACATTGCAGAGTCATAGACTTTAATAAAAGGTTGTCTCTGCAAAGTAAGACTGTTTTGTTCCTGGTGATTGGGCATAATAGAATTGAATTCATTTTGGTTTCTTCTGAACTTTTTAAATTTTGAAATAAACTTGAATGTTGGTGGATCTAAAAGTTTTATTCATGAGGTGATTGCCTTGAGGTGGATTGCCACTACCATCAGCATTAATCTAATTCCTCACAAATTGAAGGTGGTCAGCCTTAAATTGCCACCGTTGGACCCAGATACAAAATTCTTTGTGGCACTGGAGAACAGGCAGATGTGAATTACCTACAGATGGACATGGAGAGCATTTGCTGTACTGATGATTTTGTACATAATGACAAATTTTAAATGAGCTCATTGACTGTGTTTTAATTGAATAAAATCATTGATTTTGATGGGTTCCTGCTAGTAAATCTAAAATTCTTAACTTTTTCTTTCACAAGTTTATAAATTTTTTATTAATTTATTTAAAACATTTTAATATATTTTTGCACTATAAATTAGTAAGTTTTTAAATTTTAAAATATTATCTCATAAAATACATTTACAATTATATATTATTTATGTATGAATTTTATTTGATTGACATAAGAAAAGAAGAATTGTATATATATTAAGAAAATTAATATTACTAATAAAAATTTTAAGTAATTTTATTTTATACAAATCAAGGAAAATAAAACTAAATTATCCTATAAACATTTTTTAATTTATTAATTACATTTATAGAAACTAGAATATCCAACTAAACGTTTGTCACTTATTTTAATGTTTATTGTATTCTTATTTTTTTATTATTTTATATATTAGAATTTTGCTCTTAATATTTTTATAAATAGTAATACTATTTTATGAAAATTTAATCTATTTGTAATGAAATTTAAACTTTATAAACATTGTTTAATAATTGTTAACAATATGTAGTTTTTGCAATTTATCAAAAAAATTAATAATAAAAAAAATTAAATTAATAAAATAGTAACAGATGCATCAGATTTATCATGTCTCAAAGAAATCTGTAATACAGTAAAGCATCGATTATCCAAAACAATTCGGGACTGGGGTTGTTTGGATAACTGATCATTTAAAAAAATATATTAACACAAAACTGTATTGTATATAATTTGTATCATATGTCTTACAAATATTAATACATACCTTACATAATGTAATACATTAAACTAGGCCTACCGTTCAGTTTGGCAGGGAGGGGAAGAGTGCTGCAATGCCACAGCCCTAGTGAAAAATTGAATTTGCTGACTGGAACAATTTCTGTTAACCAATGTTTCAGTTGATCAGTATTCAGATAATCACTGCTCTACTGTAATTATTATTATTTGATTATCTTTGTATAATATAAATTGATATTTTTTTTTACTGTCTTATTAATTAGAAAATGAATATTGATTTGTATATTACAAATGAATTTTTATATTCTTATATTAAAAAAATATATTTTCAAATTAAAGATAACTTGTTTTTATTTATTTAAATGATTTTAAAACAAATATTATTATAATTTATAACTTTTTTTCAAACGTTAATTTATATGTTAAATTTTAGCCATGTTAAGTGGAGAAGATAAAAGTGTTCGTTCTCCAAGGTTTAGCTTGGATGGAAATGTATTAATATTTTTAGAAAATAATTCTGGAGGTCCTCATCATGTTGGAATTAAATTAATGAAAGTAAGATTGTATATTTTAAAATGTTAATATTTTAGTATTATAATGCTTTTTATTTTGTCTATCTATAAAAATTAAACAAATAGTTGTATTTATGATAATACACACAATACAGTAACTATAATTAAAAAATTAATATATGTTATAAATATCAAAATTAATTAATATATGCATTTCTAAAGAGAAATAAACATTTAGTTTAGGTGGGAATAAAATTAATAATTTTAATTTATACCTAACACATTGACTCTGTTGTCATTTTTCTTTGTAATTTCTTCCTTGAATAATTTCAATATTAATTAATTGTGTAATAATTTTGTAAATTATTTAATATCTTCAGCATATCATATTTCAAACATTATCTATTTTTGATCTTTAGTACAGTAAAATCTCATTAAGTCAAAGTTTAATGGGTGAAATAATCCCAATTTTAGTTAGAGTTTTGAATTAATTAGTTTAATAATACCTGATTTTCTCAAATTTTTCTGTGGCTATAAATTTGTTATCAAGTCACTTTTCAAGATTTTGTTCACAGAATGATTACAAAATTATATACAGTTTATGCTGCTTTTGAGTGCACTGTTAACATTCTAATGGGACCTATTGTGTTCCAATTAGAAAGCTGATAAGATATTATATCAGTAAATGGATGGTGACACATGGTTATAATAGCATGGTGTGGTGTTTGGCATTGTCCATAATGTTTATCTTAATTGTCTGTATTCATACAATATAAGAGAATATAAAGATCATAGACCTATCAAAGGGCAGAGTATAGAAGGGAAAATAAGTTTGAGTATTGGCAATTTCAACTTAATGAGACCATATTATATGGAAAAACTATACATACTGTGTTTGGAACCTGTAGACAGCTTAAAGTTAATGTGACTTTGGGTTAATGTAGTTTGATGAGGTTTTATTTTGTATTAATTTCTGATTAAAGAATCTGTAACAAATTAAGTAAGAAATCTGTTTATGGAAGGAACAGAACATGCTTAAAAGAATACATATATTCTTGTTATCTAAATGGTTTTGCATTCAGAATGAGTTCAAAGATATAACTTGGTTTTCATTCATTGTAAGCTATGTTTATACAATAACCCAGTGTCCAAGCATAAACATGAATCACCAAGCAAACACCATATATTCTTTATTAACAAACATTTCATTGTAAAAACAAATGTTTTCAGCCTATTTAAGAAGGCTTCTTCAGATTTAGCTGTTAAAATTGAATTTGCAAAATTCTAAAATGGAACACTTACTTTTCCAACCAAAATGTTGCTGGTAATTATTGTGTTTGCTTCATGGTTTATGTTTACACAAATACAGTGAGCTAAAAAGTTGCTTGCCAAAAGAGGAAACATGTCATATTGCAAATTATGGACAAAAGAGATTGTACTGTAATAATATTTAATTTGGTCTGTACGACAGTCAGGTTGAGACTAATGTTAATATTTTTGTGTTGTAAACCGCCATACTTATCAACATTTATGTTGAAAAATTGTACACAATATAGAATGTTGTGGTGAATAGTAAGAATTCTGTTCTTCTACTTGTTGAGGGAAGTGGGTGGTGTTTGGAAAACATGTTGCTTCATGTACACCAGTTTTTCTCAATGGGGGCGATATCGCCCCCATGTGGGCGTTTTTCCATGTTGAGGGGGCGATTAGTAACAATTTATATTTTGGGGGCGAAAAACAATTTTCTGAGTTATATAGTAAAACATTATATAAAGTATAATTAGATATTTTATTCGTTATATCGTACAATAATTAAACAAATAACATTATACTAGTCACTAGTCTATTCAATGCAGTACGAATTTGGCGTTAGTCTTGGTCCTCGACATCGGAATTTTGAAGTGAAGGGGGCGATAATAGGTAATGGTTTTATTGAAGGGGGCGACAATTTGTTAGAGGTTGAGAAACACTGATGTACACCAACAGGAAGAAATCCATAGAGGTGAGGTTAGGTCAGGTCATCATGAGGCCATGATGACATGCCACAGTGATCAATTCAACATCTTGGAAAAATTGCATTAAGTCTCTCCTGAATAGATAAGGCAGTGTGTGCTGTCACATCATCCTTCTGGAACAAAAGTTTGTCATTAATTCAAATGAAGATCATCCAAGAAATCCAGAACATTGATATCCGTCATGTTTCTGTGTGTGTTGACATTACTTTCAAAGAAGTATGTACCAACAATAGTGTTCTCCAGAATACTTGCACATACTATTACATAACTACAGGGGATGGGTGTACCTTTGAATAGCCTCCCATCAGGAACTTTATGCGAAATGGTTGTGAGGTGTCTGGAACATGCAGTCCTGTCTAAATTTAGAGATCAAATTATTTTATACACTAGTTATGCTGATGACATCTTGATAATGTGGTGATGCAAACTGGATCTACAGGACTTTTTAATGTGCTACAACTACTACTATATGACCTTTCCTTACAAGTGAAGCAGGAAAACTCATATCAAATGCACTTCCTTGATATATTTATTCACTTGGAGAATTGGCAGCTGACCACTATAGTATTCTGTAAAGACACCAGTTCTCCACTTTTCATTCCAAAGCAGTCACATGATCCTCTTACATACAAACTTGCTTCCTTTTGATCTTGAAAAGAGCTTTTACATACTGTACTGCAACACATGATAGTAAGGAGGAGTTGGAATACATCACATCACTAGCAATACAATATGGTTATCACAAGACCTTGTTAAGGTTCTTGTATGATAACATCAGCATCTCAAGGCCCACTGTCAACTACAGAAAAGGAGATTTGTTGTGGTTACTTATAACAAGGCATTGGCTGTCATCTATAGAGAAATTCAAAGACATCTAAAATCTGACTGGCATACCTGTGGATGTTTTATCTGCTACTATTAGTTTTTCTAATTTTAAATCTCCTTGAGGTAGGAGAATCTCTATGGCGTTCTTCTTGATAATGAATGACAAAGATCCTGTTGAGGATTTCTACTTACCTGGGGTATATGTTATTTCTCTGTAGGATCTTCTCAAGGACCAAACATTGATGTATGTTGGTGCTACAGCAACAGGCATGGCTGTGATGATCAAAGGACATAAGTATAAAATTAAGAAAAGGTCGTCTAACACAGCTCTGGCCACATATATGGAAGATGATGAGGTCAGGTTAATTAGATTTTTGCACTGGACTCTGGATCCTCATGGTTAAAGTACTTGGATTATCTTGAGATAAAAAGTGCTATCAGAAATCAAACTGCCATTAATTATAAAGAGATAGAATCTCAATTGCTTGGCGAGCATAATATGAGTTCCCATAAAACAGTTATTTTGTTTTGTAACATTTTTAAAACATCTATTTATTCTGTTACTATATGATATGCATGTATATTCTACAGTGCTAGTTCATATTTCACATATTTGAATGCTCAATTTTGAACTTTGTTCTGTTTGATTTAATATTCATTTCTGCATTAAACTTATGAAACCTGAAGAAGCCCATTTGAAACAGATGAAAATTTTTGTTTTACTAATATAGTGATTTTAAATAGCTAGTTTTGGTTTATACATGCACACCTTGATAGTCCTGTGTATTAACTTTAAGGACATTTTCCATCTCTAATACCTGGCTATGGACATTGAATTCTTAAATTTTAAAAAAACTGGATTCATAATTAAGTTATATATATATATGTATCTGATTTTACAGTAGTATTATTTTTTTGTTTTCTAATTTTGAGTTTTATTGTTCTTTTCATTTTTTTATATGTTCTATTCTGTTATACAGTAAAGCGTCAATTTTCCGAATCAATTGGGGACTGGGGTTATCCGGATAACTGATATTTCAGATAACTGATTTACGTACGATAAAATAGTTTAACGTATCCGATGTCTAAATTTTTCTGTGTTGCGTGTCGCTTTGCGTTGAATTTTCGTCGATATTAAGCCTAACAAAGACTACTGTATCGTTCAAAATTATTTTTTTATTTTGTACAAACAAAATAAATATATTGAAAAATATAAAAATAATAAAAAATTTATACTTCAGATGTTAATTTAGTATCAAAAACGTAAAATATTTGAGTAGCCCAAGACATAGCCAAAGATTGAAGCGCCACAGCACTAGCGAAAATTTAAATTTGCCGACTGGAATTCTTTCGGATGATTGACTTTCGGAAAATCGATGCTCTACTGTATTCAACTTTTGGTTGCCTGAATTTTCAGTTTAAAATGACCAAAAATGTTTACATTAATTCAGTGATGAGTAACCTTTTTTTGGATGTAGGCTGCAAGGGAACTTTATAGTCTTCTGGAGGGCAGCACAATTTTTTTAGAGTTGCAAACTTTAAGCCTTAAGCCTTAACAATACTCCATAACTGTCAATAAGCTAGGTACTAAAATAATGTACATCAATGATATACATTAAACTAGTAATCTATCTTATAGTTTATTTTCAAGTATAGTTTGAATGTTTGTCATTCATATAATTGTGAGAGTCTGAAGTTAATTAAAATTAATACGCAATTAATTGGGAAAGTGGAAATCCCCTCATATTTCCATCAAATGCAGATATGAGAGATAAACAGAGGATCGAATCTCATCATGAATCAACAATGTTTACAATGTTTTGAATAAGTTCCAGGAATAAAACCAAACAAATAATTATTAATGATAGGAAACTGTCAAAAACAGATGACATTATGAGGTAAGACGAGTCACAACAATGACTAGAAAATATCAATAATTTGGCCAAATTGCCCAGTTCTTGACAGCTCATATCTGCCGAACCAGGACATGACCCGAACTTAGACCATATTAAATCAAAGTCGCCTGACTTTTCTCCCACACTCAAGGGAGGATAAAAAGGGCTCGAACTTGAGTCTTGGGGCAGACTTCACCCAGAAAGCTAAAGGACCAAAGCTCTGTCTGTCACCTCACCCATCTCCCATCTCTCCTTTGGAAGTAACTTTCAAGGAAGATCCATGAAAGTCTTGCCGAGCTTCAAATAAA